CCACTGTCATCGTCCGTCATGACAAGGGGGTCCTTACACCCAGCTTGTCTCTCCTGATCCGCCAGGAAGTCGAGGTAGGCATGTGCTCGTCCTTCTTGGGTCTGAGAACCTCCGGCCTCATCATTGTCGGTCATGTTTCCTAGGGTTCAATATCGTAGTTGTTTAATTATCAAGCTTTATATAATAAAGTAAATAATGACAAAAGAGTGACCTTTGTTTTGCCTAAATGTCGTTTCATTCCCGTCACTGCAAATCTCGAGCACTCGATATGTCCAACTTTCGAGCATAAGTCATGCTGAAATTCACGGAAAATTTCGGCATGACCTATGCTAGAAAGTGCACATATAGAGCACCTGAATTTTGCCGGAATGGAAATGAATCAACATTTCCGGTAAAACACAGGTCACTCGCAATCGATTTCCCTGCAAACAACCAAAGTCTGATATATCTGTCTTGGTGTCGCTTTTATATTGTTGTTGCTTTTATATTTGCACCTTTTTGAGTTTTCACATTCCAAATGGGGTACACTTTTACAACTTGAATAAAGAGGATGCATACCCTAAATTTCTTGAACCTTACAAGAATTGACTCTACAAATGCAATGTATATTTCCTTAGTGTATATATGTCCGAAAAAATGTACATACTTTTTTAGCAAACATTTTTTAATAGCAGTCACGACCTTTTGCTGTAAAACAAATATATAGTTCAAATACCAAGTGACATCTACCGAGTGTTAGGGTCTATTTGTTTTGTACTCCCTCTGTTCCCAAATATAAGTCTTTTTAGAGATTTCAACAAGTGACTACATACGGAGCAAAATGAATGAATCTACACTCCAAAATATGTCTATATACATTCGTATATTGTAGTCCATTTAAAATGTCTAAAAGGTCTTATATTTAGAAACAGAGGGAGTAGTATTTTGACACCTTAGAGTAGGCAAAATGCGGGAATATGATAGGCATGTAGGTGGTAAACGGAGGGTATAAAACACATCAATTTTCGAAACTAATGTGTTCGGTTCACAGGAATTGGAGAACACATTAATTTAATACACATAGTAAGTTGAATTCTCTTTCAAATTGAGTTCAAAGTTTTTTTTTCACTTTTATTTTGCTTCATTCTTTTGAAGCAAACGGACTTTTTTTTATAAGCAAAATGAAGCAAACGGATGAATCCTGTTTCCTATGATGAACCATGAACCAAAAGCCCACACAGAATGGGCCATGAGCCCATGAGTTACTCTCACACTGTCTAGCGACGCCAAACCTTATCGGAGAAGAACGGCGACGCGACGGCGCTGGAGCCGGCGGCCGCTCCCAACCCACAGCGTGCCGAGGGGACCGAGACGCCCAGGACAAGGTGCATCAGTGGAGCGCCCACCCTTCCCTGCGTGGCGGGCTTCAGCGCAGAGCTTATTTTCGGCGCCGTTGCCGTCCTCGCCAAGCAGCTCCGGTTGCGAACCCCGCGTCCGCCGCCGCTGGGCCTTGCTGCGCGGTGGGAGAGAAGTTCGCTGCTTGGCCGTGCCGTCGCCGCCGCGGGGCTTCGGGGTCGCGCCTCTGCAGCCGACTTGTAAGCGTTCTCTGTTCTCCTCCTCCCTCGCTTGCACTTGAATCGTCAACTGTAACGGCTGCTTTGCATTTGGGAGATTAGTGGTGGCTAATCAAAGCCGACCGTCTGATCAGATCCATGATCTAGAGTTCAGGATCGTTTTGCAACGCGGGCGTTAGGGTGAGGCCAGTGCGTGTTAGTGTTGCAGTCATGTGACCTACAGCTGTTTGATGAAATGCTTAAGCTAGACGCGATGGTTACAAATGTGCTTTCTCCCATGACTGTTCTAACTATTTCTGCCTCGGATACTTGCATTTACTCGCTTAGTGAAACACTTCAGTGCCTCGGTTCTACTGTGGCCAGTGTGCATTGCTTCAGTGCCAAAGTATGCGTCATATTCAGTTTCTGTTAGCTGCTTATTTCGATATGCTGTTACATCAATAGTGGAAGTCATTTAGTAACGTATAATGTGCAGGGCTTGTGTTGTATATATGTATGGTTTGGCCTCTTGTTTCTTGCAGCATTGCTTATAGTCACTCAGAGAACAAATTGGTCCCCTTTGCAGATTCTGCGATCAGGTTTTGCACTTGTGGCTGTTTAGACACCTATGATCCTGTAAATAATGCGGGGAAAGCTTTGGGTCAGATTTGCCCCCTTCCTTTCGAAGCGTTATGTCTCTTCCTCATCATCACCATCATGCTCGGCAATCCAACCGTGGTTCTTTGTTGGCCTAGGTAACCCTGGTGAGAAGTACCAATCCACCAGACACAATGTAAGTTCTGCTTCTCATCTTCTGTTCAAAATTCAGGTGGCTCAGCTTTATTGTCATAATGCATTTGTGTTATTTCACCTTGCAGGTTGGGTTTGATATGATAGATGCATTTGCAGAGTCTCAGAACATATCCCTGACCAAAAATCACTTCAAAGCACTATTTGGCGAAGGTTTCACTCCTTCCATATGCTCCCAGAAATAACATTCCTCTTTACTTTTCGGGTAATTGATGCTCTGTTTTCAAGTACAAAGGGTTGAATTGAATTGAAGGTGCTTTCATTTCTATTGATGCAGGGATGGTTGATGGCGTCCCTGTTTTGCTTGCCAAGCCTCAAACATATATAAATCTCAGCGGGGAATCTGTAAGGAACACTTTTGAAAGATTTGTCTTTATGATTTCTACCTTGCTATACATTTTCCTTTCCATGCACGCAATTCATTGTAACTGGCCTGACAGTGAACTGTGATGACTTGTTAAATGCTTGTGATCCTGACACCCCTACCTTTCTTTCTTCTTACAGGCTGGTGCACTTGCTGCCTATTATAAGCTTCCACTCCACCGTGTCGTAGTGGTACGTGTTTATGATCCAATCTTCCTTGGTGACACCTTAGATTGGCTAACTGAGTTCTTTGCTGTATGAGTTTCAGGCATATGATGACACAGACCTGCCATGTGGAGTTCTTCGTTTACAACCTAAAGGAGGATATGGGCGTCACAATGGGTCAGTAAACCTTACATTTATGTGCTTTGTGAAAGAGTTCTATTTGTGTGTCAAAAGTTTACAAAGGGAAAACCTTGTATTTCTGTGTTGTGTTTAAATACATAAATAGAAAAGCAGTAGCTCTGGAATTTATCAGGTTATTAAGTTTTCAAGATTGTGATGTTCGTACTTGGACCTATCCTGCCTGTGTGCCCTTAGGGGGTACCTGTCTCGTTGAGCTGGTAAACAATATGGTGCTTACCTTTGATAAAGCATATGGCAGCTTTTCTTCCGTTCTGTAGCTCATTACTCCAGCAACTACATTTCTTGTTTGTTGTTGTATTCCTGCATGCACCTTTTTTTTTACATCTCAACATGATCCTTACTTGTTTTACTTGCCAGTTCACATAGCCTGTGATGTCTAGTCAGTTACTGAAAAACAAAATCTTCTGAACATGAGCACACTCTTTAATCAGTATGATAGAATAAAATGTTCTATCTTTAAATTATTTTATGTGTGTGAGCAGACCATTAGTCTCTCAAATCTATCTGATTTCTGTAGACAAGGTGTCCATTTGATCTTGACAGGAAATAATTACCTTGTTAGTTTATCAGGTTGAAGAGTGTGATATACCATTTTCGCAAGAACCGAGAATTTGGCCGATTAAGGATTGGTAGGTTTGACAACTGCAGGATTCAGGTTTCCTTTTCCTTTTCTGTACTAAAATTTAACGTTTGAAGTAGGGATTGGACGTCCACCTGGTCAGATGGATCCCAAAGCTTTTGTGCTTCAGAAGTTCAACAAGACTGGTCGTGAACTGGTATAAAATCTCCATTGCTATTACCCTTGTGTTCTAGTTTAAGGTTATGCTTATTCTTATTATCCAATTTTAATTCTCGTGTAGTTCTTAATGAATTAATTTAGAAACACCTTCTTTTGTTCTATTGTTGGATGATTGTGTTCGTTAACTAGGATAAGTGTGACCAAACATTAAGGAGTCCAACACCCTTGGCTATATAAGCAAGCTCTGTGTTCTAATGACTTTAATCTATTTCAGTTAATTTTTAGCATATTTCTGCATGCTCCCTGCAAACCAAAAATAATCTAGGCTCCATTAGATAGTATGACGAGGGAGTATTTTCTGCGACAAAACAACTTCATTATATGATTTTGTTATGGATAAACTAGATATGCATCGAGATATGGTGTGTCAAACTGAAAACAATCTTACAGACTGAGGTGTATTCCACAACCTGAAGATATCCAAAGGACCACTCAAGTGTTCCTTCCACATAGTAGAAAGATAATAAACAAAAATCTGTTTTAAATTGCGGACGACAACCGGGCACTTATGTTTATTTTTGTGTGTGTGCATCTTTTGCTCTGAACCTAGATTGATTCAGCCATAAAAGAGGGTGCTGACATCCTGAAGATGGTGGTGAGCAAGGGTTTGACAGAGGCAGCAAGAGTGGCGAACGTGGATCAGAAGTACAAGCATCTGGTATCACATGACCAGCAGCTGTTGTAAAGGTGACTACGAACCGCTCCTCTAGATAAATGGTCATGCATGCTGTGCTCTTCCAGTATTATCTAGTCGGAATGCGGAATTGACTCTACTTAGTAGGAGGTGGCACCAATTTATTTGTTTTATGGCATATCGATATTTCTTCTAATATTTCATTGGTTATGCCGAGCAATAAGCTAACATGTATGCATGTATGTCCAATAGTACACGCTTGACTATTCAGATATTGTGACCCGATGTCTATGGCATCGCTGTGAACAGCAGCTTCTTTAATTTTCCACATCAGTATCTTACCAAAAAAGAAAATCATGTTCCACAACAATGTCCGATTACATCAATTGAAGCAGAGGCTGGAATATCCCCCTTTTAAAAACAATGCCCAATTACATGATCAAATTTCAACGTCCTTAATATTAATGAAAACACACAATAGCATATGACAACTTTTTCAGCGATTTGCTTCTAGAATTGCGTCCATGACCTTCTTGAGCGAATGCTCCTGAACAACAATATCGGAGTGTGTGGCATTAGCAATCTCCACGAACTTGAAGGGTATGTTAGCTTCTTGTTGCCTACTTAGCTCCTTCACAAACGCAAGCACGCTAAACAAATTCATGGTCCCATCTCCATCGCCGTATACCTTCTTGGGAGCCATGTCGAAGTTACCATCCCGGTACACCACCTGCTCCGGCGTTTTGACACCAACGCCGTTGAGGTATGTAGTTGGCACCATCGGTGGGTCAATTCTCAGCTTCATCGAAAGCACTCGTTTCACGACCTCGGTGTTCAAACCGAGTGCTGGGAGGAGGTCCTTGTAGTCATATGCCGAGTAGTTCTTGTGTTTGGTGATCACAATTGGCCTGTGACCAAATGCCATGGGAGATGGGAGGGATAAAAGGGTGCTTGCAAAGGTTCTCCACATTTGCCGCAGAAGCAGCGGCGGAACCGATGGGACGAGGAAGGACGGTCCCGAGGCGAGGCTCGTGAGCACCCCCAGAAAACCTTCCGGAGGTGTGGGTGATACGAGGACCAGGTGCTTGATGAATTTCTTCCTCCATGGCATGGGAGTCGAGTTGATGAACCCGAGGATGACCTTGCCACCAAAGCTGTGCGCAACGAGGATGACCGGCTTGTTTTGATTCTTCTCGCTCGCACGCTCCACCAGGTCCTTGACACGAGCAAAATAGTCGGAGTACACCTGAGATGGTTGCCCTGGCAGCGGCGGAGCGTGCCGTGGGTCATAGGGAGCTCCGAAAAGGGTATCTCCGTCGCGATACCCAAGCAACTCAAGCTCTTCGCGGACCCTTGCCAGACAAGTTGGGATACGGCTCCTGAACACCACGAATGCAACGCAAAGATCATCAGTTTCCAGATCCAGACCTCTAACAGTGGAGGAAGAAAACGTCATCCGTGCATATGTATGCACTACAGAGTTTTCAGCCGTGCATATGTATGCACTACCTGTAACAAATCCAACGGACGGAGTGCTTGGACATAGTGTGTACTTACGAATCGTTCTTGGAGGTGAACCCGTGGGCGGAGCCGAAGTCCGGCACGCGGGTCTCGACGCCGGGCAAGTTCCGGTAGTCGTTGAGGACGGGGTCATAGACGAGGCGCATCTGCTCCTCGAAGCACGGCACGTAGTCCTGCCGGACCAGGTCCGTCGTGTTTTTCCACAGCGGGAACCACCCCTTCCCCTTGAGCTCGCCGCAGCGGGGCAACGACGGCGCGTAGGTGTTGGCCAGCCACGCCTCCAGGTTGGGGCAAGTGAAACCAGGGATCAAGATTACCGGGTGGTAGAGCTCGGCGTCATAGCCTCCTGCGCCACAACGATGGATGAGGCAGATGAGGAAGGTGAGTAGCGCTACAAGATCAGCAGACGGCGAGACAATCGCCATCAGACAATACGGTGGTGCGCTACACAAGCGAGTGCCAACATCGATCTATTGGATGCTCGGCTTTATATAGATTACTAGTGGTAATTAATCATCTTTAATGTTTGGAAAGTTTTTAATATTTGCCTAAAATTACGTCTGGGTAGGTAAGACTATAGAAGGCAGTACTTCAACGTTAAGACTTGCCTCCTCATCCAAACGAGGAAGTAAATTAAGGAGTACTAATGGAGAACAATAAAGAAGGAAAAAAAATTATGGTTAGAGGGACTGTGGTATCCGAGCCCACCAGGACTAATCCAGGATTTCCGGCGAAGCGTATTCAGTGGAAGGAGACGTTCCCGTCGATGACGAGGTGCCTACGGTGACTTCGTAAATTTCAAGGTAATATGCCGGCTCAGTCTTTCGGAGGTGTTCATAGGGGTAGGGTGTGCGTGTGTGCGTTCATATGGTTGAGTGTATGCGTGTGTATATGAGCGCTTGCATCTGTACTGTGTTCAAAAAAATAATGTAAATTGCAGTTGCAACACACTCCCTCTATTTCGAATCAATTGTCATTTCAATTTTTTACGTACTAAGTAAAACTTGTTCCAAGTCAATTTTGTATAAGTTTGTCCAGGTTTATAAAAACAATATACACCAACGTCTATGAAACCAAATTACTCACATAAGATCCATCATGAAATATACGTTCACATTATATTTATCTAGTCTTCTAGATATTGATTCTCATAAGTATGATGTATTTTCATTTTATGTTAGTTGTATAATATTATAGATCAAAAATTAAGGTGAAACGACTTCCTAGCGGCCGTTGCAGCGAGCGATCTAATCCAACGCAACTAATCAGCCAACAAGTCTTTCCATCAAGGCCCATCACGTGAGACTTTCAGCGCACACACATGCAAAGGCTAGGTAAGGCAAGAGGGAGGCGGACCCACCCAAATCAACAGTAATCACCGCCCCTTTGATTTTCAGGGGGCGCCTCTAATTAATTGCCCCTAATTAATCCACATAGTTAAGTTACTTTCCAAATTGAAGCCTGTTGGAAAACGAGTGTTGGAACGCTGGCGCGCCACATAAGTGTTACACGTGTGGCACGAACACATGGCAACTCCGAACGTTTCTTATGCCACGTTTAATGATGTGAGGATGGCAATTTTAATTGTCAAGCATGTCAACTTTCTGTTTAGAAGCAAGTTTCTTTTTTTTCTTTTTTAGATGACAATTTTAGTTGTAAAAAACATCAGGTCCAGATTGTTTCATGCCACGCGTGTGGCATTTATCATTTGGGAAAATTAATCAATTAAGATCTTACCTTTGTGAGTTCGACCATACAATGTACCTTTTTATTTCAATTAATATCAATTTTTTACTAATTATTGTAATTGCACAAAATCTATTTTTTTACGAAAAGAGCGCATCTATTATAAAGATTCACCGAAAATACAAAGCACCTCAATCATCATAAAAACTACATCGAGGTCTATGGACCACGGAACGACCATTGCCGCTGCCAAAACAAGCAGGTGACGAGCCACTGTCACCGCTCCCATACCGTAGCCGGCCTGACCATGTCGATAACAGTCGGGAAGTCTTCCTGCAAAAAAGAAAAGTTATGTGGACGATTCACTAAGTTTAGACGATTAATATTTGGAGAGACAATTTAATCCCTTGGGAATATGGACTCCCTTGAAGTGGGTTATGATCTCCTGCTCCATGCCTGATTATTCATTCAATATGATACACAAAGTACACGCAGGAGTGGTGCTTATAGGATCATATGTTTATATGAGGTAAGTGTACATGCGTATATATTTGAGCATATTTTTTAAATACAACGCTAATTGCAAGTAGCATGCATGGATACGTTGAGGAGCGTGTGAGTGTTATTTTCTGACGAAGACATTTGCCACGGAACAGTAAACGCTTGGTGACACTGATTCTGGCTGGGTTTCTGCCAACAAAAAGATGTCAATAGCCGCCGAACGTTCGAGATGGTGCATGACAATTGTGAACGTTTTCTATGACAAATTCTTCACATACACATGGAAGCTTCTTACCAGAGAATTTTTCCGTGAAATTTGTCGTGTTCGCATGAAAGAATTGCCATTCTCCCAGCGCATAAATCGCCGCCAAAAACATTCATTGCACCCCAGAGAGCTTTCGCTGAATATTACCGGAAAAAAGGAAGGCATTTAGCCGATGTGCATCTGCATGGCTGTGAACAGCTACTTCAATCCATTGATACAACGACGCGAGTCCAGCTAAGATTGCTGAATGATATAATCACCTTAATTCCTGATATTGTTTCCGCTCAGTATGCAATTTACAACGGGCAGCTGTGCCCAATTTCACTTACCTTTAGGAAATCTTCACAATATGTTGATAATATTCCACATTGACATCTTTCCCAAAGAATAATATTCTACAATAGTATCAAATTACACCAATCGGTGCAGAGACCGGTATGGTCCGCATTTCGAATCAAAAAATAATTCACAATTCATAGTGAGATTGGAAATCTTTAATATGAAGAGAAACAGAAATAACATATGATGACTCCTCAGCGATTTGCTTCTAGAATTTCATACATGATCTTCTTGAGCGAATGCTCCTGAACAACAATGTCAGAGTGTGTAGCATTAACAATCTTGACGAACTTAAAGGGTATGTTAGCCTGTTGTTGTCTACGCAAATCATTCACGAGAGCAAGAACGCCAACCAAATTCATAACCCCATCTCCATCGCCATATACGTTTTTGGGAGCCACATCAAAGTTACCATCCCAATATATTGCCTGCTCAGGCGTTTGCACGCCGACGCCGTTGAGGTATGTTGTTGGCACCATCGGTGCATCAACTCTCAGCTTCGCCGAAAGCACTCGTTCCACGACCTCAGTGTTCAAACCGATTGCCGCAAGCAAGTCCTTGTAGTCATACGCCGAGTAGTTCTTGTTTTTGGTGATCACGAGCGGCATGTGACCAAAAACCGGGGAAGATGGGAGGAATAAAAGGGCACTCGCGAAGGTTCTCCACATCGGCCGCAAACCCAAGCGCGGAATTGTCGGGACAACAAGGGGTTTCGGTCCTGAGGCGGGGTTCGTGAGCGCCTCCATAAAGCCTCCCGAAAGTGCAGGCGATATCAGGACCAGGTGCTTGATGAATTTCTTCCTCCATGTTATGGGAGTCCAGTTAATGAACTTGAGGGTGGCCATGCCACCAAAGCTGTGTGAGACGAGGATGACCGGTTTGTCCTGGTTCTTCTCGCTTGCGTGCTCCACCAAAACCTTGAAACGGGCAAAGTAGTCCGAAAACACTTGAGATGGCTGGCCTGGCAGTGGCGGAGCATGCCGTGGGTCATAGGGAGCTCCGAAAAGGGTATCTTCATCACGATAGCCAAGCAACTCAAGCTCTTCGAGGACCCTTGTCATGCAAAATCCCTTACGGCTCCTGAACACCATAAATGCAATGTAAAACATCAGTTCCCAAATCCACAACTCCATACGTTGGGGACAAAAGCATTCGACGTACTAGAGATTTTTCCTAAAGGTCATAATGTATACACCGCGTGCAAAATTTGCAATGTAGATCAGTAGACACATCAACGGGTAGTAGGAAGCCCACAGATGGATTACTTGTTACATAGTGTGTACTTACGAATCGAGGTTCTTTGAGGTGAATCCATGGGCGGAGCCGAAGTCTGGCACATGCGTCTCGACACCGGGTAGGTTCCGGTAGTCTTTGAGGGTGGAGTCATAGGCGAGTTGCATCTGCTCCTCGAAGCACGACATGTAGTTGTGGCGGACCAGGTCAGATGTGTTGTTCCACAACGGGAACCACCCCTTCCCCTTGAGCGCACCGCAGCGGGGCAGTGACGGCACGTAGGCATCGGTCAGGCGCGCCTCCAGGTTGGGGCAACTGATACCTGGGATCAAGATTATTGGGTTGTAGACCCCGACATCATATCCCGCGTCGCAACAATGGAGGAGGCAGATGAGAAAGGTGAGGAGTGCTAGAAGATCAGTAGATGGCGAGACAATCGCCATCAAACGATGCGATGATGTGCTACACAAGTGAGTGCCATTATCTATTGGACGCTCGACCTTATATAGACTAGTAACCATTTTTAGTGTGTGGGAAGTTTTTAATATGTTTTTAATATGTGCCTAGGATTATATCTGGTTAGGTAACACTATAAAAGCTAGTGCTTCAAAGTTAGGACTTATCGCTTCATCCACATGAGGAAGTAAATTAATGTTAACATATTGAAGAACAATGTAAAGAAGGAACACAATTAAGAAATGAGCAAGAAGGAGAAATAATTAATGCAAGCAAATATTGTTATGTCTATTGCATTGGTTGTTTTGTTGATCTTCTTTGTGCTACTTTAGCTATGTTTATTTCTGTGGTCTCTCTGAAGCTGATAGATGGATCTTTTCCTTTGCTTATCTTTACTTTTAGTTAGAGTTTGTAACATAATGGTTTCTATTGATAGAAATCCAAGGGCGGGGCATCTTTTTTCAATTGTATGACGTGCATGTCGATTACAAGGTGCATGTGGTGACTTCGTCAATCTCAACACCTACTGGCTCATTCTCTTGCAGATGCTTTGTG